GCGAAAGGCGTCTCTGCAAGGAAACACCAGCGTGCACACCCGCCGCATTCGACGTCCGGCATTTCCATCCTTGCCTTTGAACGTCGTGTCCCGTCAGACGCTTGAAACGCGCCTAACAACACGTGACCCGCGTCTTGGTGTGAACCACGTGTTGCGCAGCGTTTCCCGTTTCTCTCCCGCTACGCTGAAACGTATAGTAAACTAGATTAAAACTAGAAGATTATTCTTCTACACTAGTCCATGCACGCGAGAGGAAAGAATAATCGATAGGTAAACCAAAAAAATACTTCGCTACGCAGCTGTTCGGACTCCATCCGACGCCGATCCATGGTTTGTCAAACGAAAGCTGACTGCGATAGCGATGGTCTTGCGCAATCTTCAAAAGAGTCTTTTGTTCTTTAACGAAGCCAAGCAAAATAGCATTATATGACTAATATTAATGTCACTATAATAATGTTGTAAAAATTAACAAATATTCAGTCTACCTTATGTTTTACCTACATTTTAGGTTTTCTTTTTAAGTGTAAAAACCGAAACCGAAACTACCTCAACCAACGTTTTGTTCGTCGTATTCGCTTCTCTGCCTGTGCGTGCGTGCGTGCACCCGGGTTCGTGTGCGCGTGTGGATGCGTCCGCGTGCTTGTGTGTGCTTGCGTGCGTGCGTGCGTGCGTTTGCCCGTGTGAATACGTGTGTACAAGCGTGCACTGGTGTATGTGCGTTTCTGCGCGCGCGCAAACATCTCTGTGCGTTCTATTGAACTACGCCAGCAAGAAGACCAATCGAATGTCCCTGGACACTGTAATGAACACCACCAAGTTTATTAATATTATTATAATTTTTATTATTACATTAATATTATTATTATTGAAATATGCCAGCGCGAAGTCGAGTGGTCCTTCCTTAACTCTGTAGTAAACACTAGTTTATCGATTGATTGACCTCTATTTTTGCCCGTTGTTATTTCAGAAAGTTGCCAATCGGCCACTTCCGCAAATAGGGTGAACATCCGTTGCCCTTCTAGATATCGCGCTTGGAATGTACCTCAAGAAGCCCGGCGCCCTGATTGTTTCTATTTCAGCAGTTTGATTGCCATTATGATAAGTTCAATTACAATATGTACAGTTCAAATTCTGGTACAACCAATTCAAATAATATATGTTTTCTTATATGGTACGACGATTTGCTCCCGTAGAGCAGGCGCAATAGAACTTATGCAATTTTAAGTAGAAAACTTTTGCACTTAAAGTGCAAAGCTCAAGATTACTGTTTTAGACAGAGGAGGGACTCGTACATGAGTCCAAGTCTTTAACAAAGTCGTAAATTTTGAAAAAACGAACGCTTCCTTTTTTTCTGGAGTGTTTCTCTGGAACTCACCCCAAAAGTTAAACGAAGTTTCATATTAATTAAAAAAAAAAAACGACTGCGAAGAGTTTTAGTGGAAAACGTTTTTAATAACTGGAACAAAATTAGGCGGTACAGGTGAACAGCCTGCTCTAAATGTACGTGTTCCATCTAAAAAGATCAATTATAGAAAGAAAAAAAAAAACAAGTATTCCACTTAAAACCGTTTGATTCGCTAAACATTTGCCAGGACTTAGTCAAAATTAGTGGAACGCGAGCCTTATGCGGAACTTAACTGGAACCTTAGTGGAACCAGATTAAGAGTGTATAGATGCCGCACGCTTTGAAGGTGCGTTGATGACGCTTCCGTGTTTACCGGGATTGCGCTACTTCTATAATCCTAAATAATACTAATGGCGCGCCTAAATTATACTCGAAGTGTCTACGGTTGCTTAGAGAGTACTTGGAGTAAGCCAGTAGTTACATGATCTAAACATACTTGGCAAGTATACTTGGATCATGGAACGACTCCCACGTGCCATATACTACTACTCTATTTTTTTGTAATCTTCGGTTACACTCCCTGCCTTATAGTTTACTAGAAGTATGTGGAGTATAATCTTATTGCGCTCTTTTTCGCTAAAGGGTAGCTTGCACCACCGAACCCAAAAATAATTATTTGAAAAAATTTTTTCTCTTTTTCTTTTTTTTCTCTCGGATACTTAAAATTATTCTCCCCTTATCCCTTTAACTATCTCCGGGCATTTAGAGTACTTTCTAAGAAGAGCTTTGGGGAATCGGGGAAAAAAAGAAAAAGATAAACACCACCCCCGCCTCCTCTCCCGAGTGAGGGAGTCGCCAATTTTCTTATGGTGAACCTCGTCGGCGTTCGTCTTTGAACCAGACCCACTGGGGTAAGTGTGAGACTGACAGATTATGACAAATTAAAGCTGAGATTATAATTTTCGTTCTTAAATAACATGTAACTTTTTATACGAAACATTATCAGCCCCTCGCAAGCTTGTCATTATAAATCAACGAATGTTTAGTTGAAACTGAAAGATACAAACTGTCATATATACGTAGTCAACCCAAGTCTCATTGACGATGGTTTCGATTATCGTTTTGACGGATGGCGCCTAGTTCTTTGTCTGTTACTAAAGTTTCAGTTGCAGTGGAGAGTTCCCCGGTTGTCAAGCGGCTAGCCTGCTGCATGAGTAGTTGCAACATATGGAATTACAGTTAGAAATACTGTATGATTTCGTCATGCTGCCGCTCAACTCTGTAGAGTTACTCCCAGGACAAAAAGTGCAGGTTATTAGCCTGATTGCGTTGCCCACTTGTGGGTCTTTAAAAGATCCGAGGCTCCGTGTGAGATTACTATAGGGAGGAGGCGAGCCGACAGCGTCGCCCCCGTCGCCTATTGTTCGCTGCTACCTGGTGGCAATCGGCGCGGAATCGTCGGGTAGCAATGCCGGCTAGCTGCACTGTGGCCAATGCACCTTTGTCGCTATCGCGAACCTAGTGCGGTTAGAAAAGTTTTGAGCCTTCTTTCATGTCGAACAGTTGTCGAAAGACAAGCTGAATGCTTTACGGTTATGGTGCAAAGCGGTTTTATTTCGAAGAGGGGGCGTAGGTAACTATGCAACCTGCTCCGCAGCGCCCACGCGCGGGTACCGCGAGCGGGATTTCAGGCGCAGTAAATTTGCCGAATCACTCGAACGTAACGAGGTCAGTTTTGTTTGCAGCATTTGAATAACCAATGATACAGTGAGGGTTTTCCTTGCGCACTAAATTACTTGAACAGCACAATATGATTGTTTTCGCGAAATGATGTGGCAAAATCAGAGTGCGCGGTGACATAAGCGTCTTCGTACGGTGCAACTGCATAAAGTGCCAATCGTTGCGAACTTAACGTATACATATAAATTGCTTAGTTAAGGTTGAAAAAAAGGAATAACGTATTAGTGTATGAAGTAGCTTCGATCGTACACCTACACTACCGGACGGTCGGCGTGGATATAGTCATTTTGCATGGACACGGCGTGCATTATTGAGCCTTAAGATATACTTATTGTTAGCGATACAAATACTAAGAATCCTAAATAGTTTCGTTTGGCATTATATAATATGCACTAAAACCAACAAAGCAAATGACCCAAAGAAAACACGCGGCAATTGCATTTAAGACCAAAGAGATGCTATGCTGTTATATAAAGGTTATTGATGTTGGGTAGCTCAAAGGAAAGTAATTGAGAAATAATTGCATTACTTTCTAAAAGTAATTTAAGTTGCAATGAATTACTTCTTTTCCAGTAGTAGTTCATATTGGTAATTGCCTTGTTTCGGACAAGGGTAGTTTTTTTTTTTTTTTTAGACCACAGGTCTGGGAGGCTGGAGCAAAAGGCGGCAAACGTTGTAAATATAATTGAATTACATTTACAAAGTAATTGACCCAAGTATGCTGCAAGGCAGATTTATAACCCCTAACTTTTCTTCGGTTTATGTACACCATTTTGAACAGTTCAACTGCCTGTTTGAGGAGTTCAATTACCGATTTGAACAGGTCGACCACTAATTTGAGCAGTTAGCTACCAGTTTGAACCGTTTTACCACAATTCAAAGCTGTGCTACCAGTTTGAAGAACAGTTTGATGATCAGTGTAACCACTTCAGTCACCATTTTGAACAGTTTGAATACCAGTAGGACCAGTTCTGCTACCACTTTCACCTGTCTAGCACTCAGTTTAGCCTGTTTAGCAAGTTCAGCTGCGTGTTTTGCAGGTTTTGCTGCCTGTTTGTTTTCCAAGTTCGCCTGCCAGTTTTTGTCAAGTTTTGCTGTTTGTTTGCCAAGTTCTGCTGCCTGTTTGGAAAGTTTTGCTGCCTGTTTAGCAAGCTCCATTGCCTGTTTGGCAAGTTCGGCTGCCTGCTTTCCAAGCTAAGCTCGCCTGCCAGTTTTTTCAAGTTTTGCTGCCTGTTTGGCAAGTTCGGCTTCCTGTTTGGCAAGTTTTTCTGCCTGTTTAGCAAGTTCCATTGCCTGCTTGGCAGGTTTGGCTGCCTATTTGTCAAGTTCGGCTGCCTGTTTGGCAGGTCAAGGTGCCCAGTTTGCTACGTTAATGTTCCAATTCGGCCAGTTTGTTTTCCTATATCGCCAGTTGAATCAGTTCGATTTCTTTTTCGCCCAGTTCAAATTCGTGTATGCCGGGTTTAGAATCATACTATTTTTTCAATGTCCCTGAAAACGTCGAAGTTATGTTACAACATCCTATGGATATCCCATAGACGTTACTCAAGCTGTCTCGTTTGGGTTAAGTTGCATCCATAAAAAGGGCACCGAGTTGGATCAAAAGTCACTGTGATTTGCTATCGAGAGCTGGAGAAGTGCAGGGATATTTTCACGGGGTTATAAAACTAAAAATAGTTACATCGTACTTAGTTGACTGCGTAGCCCAGGGTCGATTTGCCAGTTCCATAAGGCTATCTGCTCGTTGAAACCGGAACACGGCCGTATCGGGAAGCTCTAGAACTGTGGTTTTAAGTAAAATGAGATCACAAGCATTGTTAGAAACGGAAACGTTATTTATTCTCGCGTTTTCATCTGGATTTCAACCGTAGAAGCTTCCGTGTCCGCCGTAGGATCCGAGCCCGCTGTATCCTCTTTACAGTCCTCCATGACTCAGACTGCTTCCGTATCCGCGCCCGAAGCCGCTGTGGCCACCGTAGCCGCCGTAGCCGCTGTAGTCGCCGTAGCCAGGGTTAGCCGGCGTAGCTGCCGTGGCCGCCGTGGCCGCGGTTGCCGCCGTGGCCGCCGTCGCCGCCGTGGCCGCAGTGGCCGCCGTGGCCGCCGTAGCCGCCGTAGCCGCCGTGGCCGCCGTGGCCGCCGTAGCCGCCGTAGCCGCCGTGGCCGCCGTCGCCGGCGTAGCCGCCGTAGCCGCCGTAGCCGCCGTCGCCGCCGTCGCCGCAGTGGCCGCCGTGGCCGCCGTGGCCGCCGTCGCGGCAGTGGCCGCTGTGGCCGCCGTGGCCGCCGTGGCCGCCGTAGCCGCCGTAGCCGCCGTAGCCGCCGTAGCCGCCGTCGCCGCAGTGGCCGCCGTGGCCGCCGTGGCCGCCGTCGCGGCAGTGGCCGCCGTAGCCGCCGTAGCCGCTGTAGCCGCCGTGGCCGCCGTAGCCGCCCTAGCCGCCCTAGGAGCCCTAGCCGCAGTAGCCGCCGTGGCCGCCGTAGCCTTCGTTGCCGGCGTTGCCTTCGTGGCCGGCGTAACCTTCGTAGCCGGCTTAGCCTTCGTAGCCTTCGTAGCCGCCGTGGCCGCCGTGGCCGCAGTGGCCGTCGTAGCCGCCGTAGCCGCCCTAACCGCCCTGGCCGCCGTAGCCTCAGTAACCTCGGTAACCTCGTAGCGCCCGTGGTTCCCGTAGCCTCCGAGCACGCCGGCAAGGGCGCCGGCAACAGCCATGATGAGGAGTGTTAGAGAAAGCTGCAGGCCAATTCCATGATGAGTTTAACAAGTCACAAGATATCGAGTATTAATTGGGATGAAATATGCAGTGAACATAATCCAAGTGTATGTTATGACATATTTATGATAAAGATCAAACGATGCTATGATGAAGCGTTTCCTATCAGAGATGTTAGAAAACACAAGAAAATAAAAAAAAAACCATGGATAAATATGGATATGTACAAAAGAATGAACTATCAAAATAAACTTTATGATACTTTTATCAAAACGAGAGATGAAGCGGTATTACGGGAATATAAAAAGACTAGAAACAAGCTGAATGCAAATATTAAAAAAAAAAGCACGCAAGCAGTACTATGACAATAAATTTGCGTCAATTTATAACGACCCACAGTAAATATGGAACAATCTAAAAAGTCTTTTTCTGAGACCCACGATGCGTTACCTAATGAACTAATAATTGATGGTGATTTATATTCAAACATGTCCTTGGCCAACAAATTTAACATTCATTTCTTAGATGCTGGTGCCTCATCATGTACATTGAGTAGTAATTCTGATCTATACCTGTTACCAATTCAAAATGCGAACTCAGTGTTTCTTTGCCCTACGACAGAAACATAGATAATACAGATTATTCTGAACTTAAAAAAATAACACAGCAGCTGGGGTAGACGATATCAAGGCATTACCGATAAAAGCAGTTTTTCATCTTATCAGTCTTCCACTGACACATATTTGCAACGCTGCTTTGTCAACTGGTACATTTCCACAAAGAATGAAACTTGCGAGAGTGTGTGTTATCATAAAGGTGGCCCGCGCAACAATATAAACAACTACAGGCCAATTTCAGTACTCCCACTATTTTCTAAAATCCTGGGACAAGTAATTAATGTTATGCTTTCTAAATATCTCGAGGAAGGACAAATAATAGTGAAGGTACAGTATGGTTTTCAGAAAAATAAATCTTCAGAAAAGGCTCTATTACATATTAAAGATAAACTGGTCAATAGCATTAAAAGTAAGCTATACCACAGTGGGAATTTTCTTAGACTTCCGCAAGGCGTTCGACTCGATTAAACACAACATCCTTCTAAAAAAACTGATGCATTATGGTATAAGGGGCACAGCTTGGGATTTAATTTGCAGCTATTTATCGAACAGATCGCAATACGTAAAAATTAATGGAGTCAAATCTGAACCAAGAAAAATAAATTATGGTGTACCCAGGGGTCAATGCTCGGACCATTGCTTTTTCTACTATATATAAATGATATAGTGAACATACCTGGCACTCCTGACATAATTCTATATGCAGATGATACCAATGTATTTTTTATTGATAAGGATCTAAGTGTGATAGAAGATTTGTCAAATATGGTGGCTTCATGAACTAGCGCTCTGGCTAGACTCTAATCAAATAGAACTGAATGTCAACAAAACGAAATATATTATTTTTAAATCGGGTCACAAGCAACTTCGTAGTAATCTTAATCTAAAAATAACTTTTAAAAACTTGGAATTGGAACGAGTGTCCTCCCTTAAATTCTTGGGCGTCTGGTTTGAAGAAACTTCAAGCCGGTCGCGTCATAAAGATGATGTTCGCTCGAAAATATTTCAATCTATCGGAAGGATTTCTTTGAGTTTATACAAACTCAAAGAAATCCTTCCTTGTTGGCTTAAGCGTGAGCTCTACTACACTCTAGTACAGTCCCATCTGCATTATTGTTTAATGGTCTGGGGAACCACTACGAAATCTAATTAGACTAGGATACTTGGTCTACAAAAGAAAGCAGTTCGTTGTATTGAGAACCTGGGTTATACTGATCATACAGGTTCATATTTTGCAAAGCACCGATTTTTGGACTTTGAAAGCCTCTTTATCCTTAAACTTGCAATGTATATATATAGTGACTACAACAGAGATGAAAATACATTTAGTGAGACCTACTACCCGAAGACAACGCCATATAATCTGAGAAACTAAATCTATATGAAACCAAAAACACAAACCAATTACGGTTCCCAAGCAATAACTTGCAAAATACCCTGGCTCCTAAACAACCACACCGATATCATTGAGTTAATAAAAAGTTCTACTTCACTTTTCACCTTCAAGAAAAATATGAAACGTTATCTCCTGCTATTTTATAAATAGTGTTGTGAAACTGTTTACTTAACCATTTTCTGTCAATTTATGGGGCTGATTATCAGTTTTTTGTTTTCTTTAATCATCCTTGTTAACCGATATTTTGATTTGTAAGCGACAAGTTCCTAGCGATTTATTACTGTTGATTCTATTAAGTGGTTTATCATGTATATTATTATTTATATGTGTGTAATTTCATTATTACTCTTGTTTTTTTGTATAAGAATATTGTTTTGTGGACACGATATTGACTCCACAGTTTTCTTTGCGTTTACTGCTGTATGCTGCTGAGCTATGTACAGGGTGGTGGGGCCTCGTCAGGCAAAATTTGTTTACCTTTTGCCCCTCCACCCGCGACTCAAGGAGTCTAAATAAAGATTATTATTATTACAATGTGACGTTTTTAAAGGTGTATTCAAGTCTACATATTTGCATCCAGTGGCCGTTATCTGATTTTATATGCGATTTAAAAAAAAAAAAAAAAAAAAAAAAAACTTTGGGCGAATATTGCTGCCCGCAGGGCGGAACAAGCAGCGCTCGGTCACGGAATTCTAGAAGATTCGCGTTTAGTTTTACTCGGGGCGTAACTTTTATTATTCGTCCTAGTTTCTTGTTCTTTAAAGTGCCTGTTTATTCTCAACCCGAATGCCCGGTGCTCGAACCTTCTGGGCCGAAATTTTGCGATGCCCACGCACACTAGATAAGGAGCTCCCTGTGACCTTGTAGAGTAAAGGCCCGTTCACACTCTTGCAACCGAGTACGACCGAGAGAGACCAGACCGGTTTTTAAGCTTCTTGCGACCTCTTAGGACCGGATGCGCTACAGCGGAGCTGGTCCTAAGAGATCGCAAAAGGCTTCAAAACCGGTCTGGTGTCTCTCGGTCGTACTCGGTTGCAAGAGTGTGAACGAGCCTTAAGTCTCGCTCCTGATTGCGCAGCTGCATCGCAGAACGCTTTTCTGCTGTCTCGACGCTTGCTATTTATTTTGTTTGGCAAAAGTTCGCCGATTAAACCATTCTTCTCAGTTCATTATTTATCGCCTCTTTGCCTTACTCCGTGACATCTCTGGTGGAGGTGCGGGGTACCGCAGCCCATGAAGCGCAGCTCTCCGAGGCATCGTAGCGCAAGCCCAGCCCCAGCTCAAGAAGACCATCCATGGGAATAACCGAAACCCAAGGAAGCCATCGAATGAAATATAAGCCCCGGAATTCAGACTTCTACCGGACCCCCAGTGGAAGAAGTCGACGAAACCAACTATGATCTCCCGGGGCCTGCAAACTGAGACTCCCGCCGCTGCTTCTCCCGCCGTTTACCAGCCCGTCGACTTCCGTAAGCCGACGTCCTTCCTCGGCGAGATCCACGAGGACGTCGAGGACTGGATCCAACACTATGAGCGCGTGGCACGCCACAATGGTTGGACTGCCAAGCATAACCTACAGAACCTCTACTTTTCGCTCGAAAGTACTGCGAGGCACTGTTTCGACAATCACGAGGCTTCGCTCACGTCATGGGACATCTGTGTGGCCGAGTTGAAGCGGACGTTTACGAGCCAACACTTACAGCTGTAGGCGGAGGATCTGTTTCAAGCACGGATTCAGGCCCCTAACGAAAGCGTAATTAGCTTCGTTGAAGATGTAGTACGCCTGACTGCACGAGCCGACCCGCAAGCCACCAATGATAAAAACTTGCGCTTCCTCATAAAAGGCGTGAAGAGCGAAATCTTCGGCGGACTTTTTCGGAACCCCCCGACAACCGTTGAAGAATTTTTGCTGAAGCAACAAACATCGAGCAGGCGCTAACCGCCCGAGCGCGAAACTAACATCCTCTAACCGAAGACTCGACTCTGGTATCGGCCAGCTCCGAGTTCAGTACCAGCGCCGACAAGCTTCGCGAGATCATCCCAGATTGTTTTATTCATTAAGGGTTTATGGCACATCAGCATCTAAGGCTATAATTTGCCAAGCTTAGGCTATTGCAATTCGGGTTTAATAGGAGGAGAGAGCTATAGTAGCGGAATATGTGATAAAACTATGAACATGAATGTTTATAAGTGTAAACAATCTGACGATGGGTCTAGGATGGAAAGTAAAATCACAGTCGGTATAGACGGCCAATATCTGTGAACAAATTAAAAACACAACTGTATCGAATGAGCGGTTCATCACCCAGTAGTAGGGCAAGGTGTAGTGGAATATGTTCTTTATAAATCAATGAACAGTGTTTATATCAGTATTCATTCTACGTAGGGCATTCAATGAATATGCGCATATTACTTAGAGGAAAGTCAGTGTACAGATTCAGGGGCATTTTCCCGCTCAAATGGTGTCCATGTGTGAGACGGGTATGACCGATTCTTAATCTACGCAGTATGACTTCATAAAAGCGCTCCTGGTGTCGGGCACTCTCCCACTCGCCTAGAAAAGGTTAGATTGCATGTAGTTTGTTGCGGGTTTCATTGTTCCACTGCAGCTGCAACTTTGCTTTGATGCAACGTTTAAGAGAGTTGTGGTAATCTTTGTATGGTATTTGGTGTGTATCAATTTCTCTATCATTAGCGGAGCTGGCTGCGCAATCAGCCGCTTCATTTAAAGGAATGCCAACATGGCGAGGAACCCAGCATAGGATTATGTCAAGACTTTTATTTGCAGCCAGGATAATCTTGTTCTTTAACCCAGAAAACAGTAGGTTTTTTAAACCGTTCATTGATGTGACTGCCTTCAGAAAGCTCAAAGACTCGGTGTATATTGCAGCGTGAGGAAGCCGTTTTTTGATAATGTAACCAACAGCCAGCAGCAAACCATAAAGTTCTGCTCTTAGTATACTGGTTTTTGAATTGTTTCTTTTTA